AGCCAACAACTAGAGAATGCATATTCTTCTAGGATTTACCTGAACTCAGTTCCACAATGGTAAATCTGAGTAAGTACAGAATTAATTTAAATTTTATTTTCAGATGGGATACCAATTAATCAGTGTTGAAATGGGTGGTAAACTTGGTAGGTGAAATTTTGGCTAGCAGCAAAATGTTTACACAGCCTTAAAATATTCTTCAACAAAACACTTAAATACAAGGCAGTGGGTCGGGGTTATTAACCGTACAGAAGAAATGAGAGGATTCAGTACTGTCTTCTTAGAAATGGCAAAACTCAGGCCATGAGCATCTGGGCCCCAGTTCGATCGGCTGCCCGGCCCAGAGCCCCTGTGAGGTATGTGGCTGGCCCCACAGTCAGTGTGTGGCATCAGAGCCTCGGCTGGACGTGATCCCCATGACGCTGTTCTCCAGAGCCTTCCCTCCCTCTGCAGATGTGGCCAGGGCAGACAGAATCATTTGAAGTCAGTGGTCTGAATGGTGAATCGCTGTCATGCACTCTCTGGGTCCCCAAGGTGCTCAGATGAGAAGGCAGCCTGAAGCACTAGTGGCTTGGCTCGTGTCCCCAGGTTCCGTGTCCGAGCAACTTGGGCACCAGCAGTCTTCCCAAGTGGCAGGATGGCCTTTTCTGTGCTACGTGACAAGCAGTTCTTCCTGTTCCTGTGGCCACTGCTGGTTTAGACCCTACCACCTCTGGTCCAGAGTGGGAGAGGCAGGAAGACTGAGCAGTCCGTGCATCACTGCACGGTGTCACCTCCTCCTTGTTCCACCCATCCTCTGTGGTCCTGAGAGTCATTGTCTTAGAAGTCAGATGTGCCCGGACCAGTCCTTTACAGAAGCTTGTCAGGGTACTGCCCTGGCCTGTGCCACAGCGCAGCCCACAGGTGCCTCTGAGCCTGCCCTGTGTTTAGGGCCTCCCATCAACCTGGCCACCTCTCTTTGGGGTGTGCCATTCCCTCTTGTCCCTGTCCATGCCTGTGTCCTAGAGCCTGCTTAGGCCTCTCCTGGCCGCGCTTTCTCCATAGTTCTCAGTGGAGTAGAGTGCAGTGCTCGTGTTACTGCTGAATAGGATTTAAAACCCTTTAGTTTATTCAAAGGTCTTTACATCCTGGCTGCTTGTACATTAGAGCTGAAGGTGTTAAATGTAAAGAGCAGATCAGGCCATCATGGAGGAGTCCATCCAAGGGTTTTGGGGAGAAGATGAGTCAAGGCTGGATCTTGATGAGGAATGAGGTGGAAGTCATGCCTGGGTGCTGGGCAGCATTTGGGAGGTTTGGGAGGTAGCAGAGACCACCAGGTGTCCAGAGCAGGCAGCGCCACGTAGGGAATGTGTAGTCTGTCATGCCTCAGCACCCCAGGGCCCAGACTCTAGACTCTCTGTTCTCTCTTGAGGCTGCTGACCGACTATCCTGTGTGTCAGTAAACGATGTGATAACATCCACTGCGTGCGGGGTAAGGTCCCAGTGGTGACGCAGGGAGATGTGTGGCCAGTGGCTGGCAGCACAGAGACACTAAATGTCTTGGTGTGCAGAGGTCCCTGGCCACAGGGCACACCCTCAAGGTGTCCATATTCTGTGTGCTAAGGGCTACGCTTTCCCTGCATTAATATGTCAGTGTTCTTAATGACTTGGGTTTTAGCTGTAGCTTTGCATTTGGCTTATCACTCAATTTATAAAAGAAAATCTGTAGTTTATTCCTCAGTTATGTACTTTGGAGTTAAATAGGATTGACATTTCTGTAAAATGCATTGGGTTCTTGGCAGGAAAATACTGCCTAGGTGTGCACATCACTGTCTGGAAACTTACTGTTTATCCCTGGTGTGAACAGGAAAATCTAAGGGGAGAAGTCAGCTGTTAATGTATCCTAGGGGAATTGGTCCTCTCCTTGCCTGACTTAAAAGTTCAGTATCCTTTATCTCTGTTGTGATTAGTGTGAATCCTTCCTCTTTCCTGTTTGATCTGAAAATTTTTTCCCAAAGAAGATGCTTTTACAATAATGATAAGTTGGATGAAGCCTACAGTTAATTTTTTTAAAGCTTTTTATGACAGTGTTGAAAGAGGAAGCTGCTCTGTGTCAGCTCAGGCCACAGCTAGAGCAAGTCATTTCTTGAGAGATGAAACCATTTCTCAGAAAACATACTGCTTGCAAGTGGGAGGCGAAACTCTGCATCAGAGGTTGGCTTAATCTTTATTCAGTTTACAGACCGCAGCCTGTTGGGTGTGGAATTCCTTTATTCACCCAGTGACAAGGACTAGGGCCAGGCAGATAATGCCCTATAGAAAAGAGTTTGTTCCGGGCAGTCCTGCCGTGGTGTTACTGGATGTTGAGAAATCAGATTTCCTGTGGGAATGTGGTTTGGTTGCCTTTGTGGTATTTCATACAATATAGTTGGTGCAATCTTCCTTTTTCTCACTTTATTGGATCCTTTAAAAGATAGGGAAGAGAGATAACCATAGATTTACATGGTGATGGAGCACAGGGCCTTGGGGGATAGCTCAACAGATCATCTCATTCCAAAGCTTCCTAGGCAGTGTAACTGGGGAAGAAGAGAGAGCACCTCGCTTCCTGCGTTTCCTAACTCAGAGGTCTAAGTGTGGCTTGGTATGAACAGTTGATAGTGGGCCTGACAGACTGGAGGGAGGGAAGGGACGGGGCCAGCGACTGTTCTAGCAGCCCTTCACAATGAAACCAGGCACTGAAGGACTCTTGGTTATGGAAAAGGCAGCATCCTTCTTTATTTTTGCTGAAGAATACAAATTTATAAAGTTATAGTTTCTTCTAAAAAGACAGACAGTTTCACTTCCTGAAATGTCCATATTTACAGTCTTTTTAGATACTTTAAGGTGATGTGCTTTAGTTAACACCAGCAATGCCTGTATTTTTTTCTTTAGAGTCTCTTCTGGATCAAAGTTATATATACTTTGATATTTGTATTATTAACCTTTTTAATAGAACCAAAATTAGTAGTGATGTTGAGGTGTATTTGAGAGGTTTTGTTTTGTTTTTGTTTTTTTGAGACAGTATCTTGTTATGTAGTTCAGACTGGCCTAGGAACTTACTATGTAGCACAGGCTGGCCTTGAACTGTAGATCCTCCTGCCTCAGCCTCCCGAGTGCCGGGATTACAGGCGTGTGTTATGATGCCTCACAAGAGTTTATTTTTATAATCAGTCCTGAGGAAAAAATACAGATTCAGCCCCATTTGTAGCCAGTTCTCAGTGACTATAGAGTTTTCCCAAGGGTTACTTTTTTTTTTTTTTTAAATGTCATCTGCTAACAGAATTAAGGTTTTTTCTTTTCCTGAAAGAACTTAGTGTCCCTTTGCTTCTGTTGAGCTGGTGAATGAATATGAGACAGGTTGAAAGCCTTTATCTGGGCCGGGCCTAGCAGAACCGCCTAGTGGCTTCTGGGGCGTTCCCGGTACCCCACCAGGTCTAGAGGTGGCGCTGTGCTCCCCACTGGATTGTGTAGTTACTGTATTGATAAGATTTGGGGTAACGTGGTGTTGGTTTTAAAGACTGAGGGAAGAGAACAGTGGATTCCAGTTCTGAGTCCCAAGGGGCCTAACGGATGCTGGCGGTCTCTCTCCAGGCTCTGCCCCTCCCTGGGCCAGAAGGAAACGGAGGGAGCCCCTTCCTGCCTGCACTTCCCTGGAAGCAGTTTTCAGTTGTGCGGTGGAGGCGAGTAGCCTTGGTTGTGTGTTCTTTCAGTGATTGCAACACCAACGCAAGGAAATTCGACTGTGTGGCGTGATATGTTAGTGGGACTTGAATCCTAGGGGTTGTGTAGCTTTTTAAAAGCATGCGTTATTTTGTTGGTGTGCAGCCTGGAGATATATGTGTCTGTCTGGTTAATTAGGTAGCTGAACCTTTTACTATCTTGTATAATGTAACAGTGAAGGGGTGATTAAACTGTTAAAAAAGTGCTTGCTGACGTCATCTTTCCGAGAACACTAGTATGTGTGATTTACTATAACTAAAGATCTTAGCTTTTCCTGTTGGCAAATGACATGTAATATTTACAGAGGTCTTGGGTTCGGTCCAGCAGAAACATCTCAGATAAATTGATGTGTGAAACTAAAGCCATTTAACTTTTTCTTTCATCTGGAGATAGTAGCAACAGTTTTTTTGGTTTAAAGGTGGGGAGACTGTAAGTGTTTCTGTAGACTTCTCTGAGGGGAACAGTTTATATAGAACATGTTCCTGAGAGTTGAGCACCAGCACCATGTTCCTCAGTTTGTGACTCTGCATTGTGCTTCCAGCGTCCGTGAGGAGGGTTCTGAGTTCATGTTCATCCTGGTATTGGATGCTGTTTTTCCTGTCATGCTTCTCTTTCTCGTCTGCATAATATGAGGTCAAGTTTTTCATTTCAGATATTTGAATTAGCATAAATTTTAAATCTGTGAGTTTTTTACTTATATCTAAATTCTAACAGTCTTAACTAATGAAACTTTCAGTGGTCTTTTAAAGAGCCCAATTGGAATACTCCAACTATATTTGAATATTTTTAACAATCTATAAACACAGTTAAGTGCTAAAAATTCCTTAAATATGATTGAATGCCTGTTTAGTTAAGAAATGAGGAAAATGAAGTGTAACCTTATCTGTCTGAGGCCAGCTCTTTTTGTAGGTAGAGCAGTCAGTTCTTAGGCAGAGAATCTAAATGACCCCTTTTACTTTTCTAGGGAGGTAAGTGCTTTATTGTTTTACTGTGTTTCACTCTGATCAGTCTTTCAAGTTAGGATTGCTGTTACATTGCTAATGGGAGACACTTCCCCTTCATCACCACAGTGACAAACAAGATTATGTTTTGTAACTTACAGAAAGATTTTCTTCATATTCTGACTCTTCTGTGATGCTAATCTACTTTGTTTTTTTTTTTTGTTTCTTAGAATATTAGAACATTTGTTTCTTGGAACATGTTAAGAAGAAAAGAAATGACAAGCTTGAAATAAGTTACAGTTTATCATTCTTTATTTTCAGATGACCACAGCCGTGTTAAACTGCAAAATACTGAAAATGATTATATAAATGCCAGCTTAGTTGACATGGAAGAGGTGCAAAGGAGTTATGTCTTAACACAGGCAAGTATGCGGCATTGAAAAGATGCCTGAAAATGCAGTTTTTTAAACATAGCAAAAAGTGTATCTTGTCTTGTAAGTAAAATGCTGTTTTGTTTTTTTCTGGTTATGAAATAAATTGTACCCATTATAAAATTTTGAAGCTTTTGAGGTAAAAAATAATTTTTAATGTTAACATGCTCCTTCAATGGAAATTGTCACAGAATGGCCAAGCAGGTCCTCAGGCAGATGCCCTTCTGGTCTCATGTCTGACGTGGAACTTTTGTTACTGCTCTGTTACGATTGCCAGCCCCCTCTTCCCGGCCCGTGAGGGTCACCAGAGGCCCTGAGAGCCCGCTCACCTTCCTTTTGCAAAGATGGTGCCTGACCATCGGTGGGGCCCGTGTGCCTGCCCGTCAACACAGGGCTGAGCTCCTGCCGGGGTTCTTCGGCCATCTGCCTACTTTCTGTGGAGCACCTGGCCATGTCCACATGCAAGCACCACTTTTCTTCCATCCCAAGATAATAGGAGCAGTTTTTGTTTACCCGCACCAGCTGCTCTTTATTTGGCATATAGTGGAGACTTAATTTATAGCGCTGTAATTTCTCCCAGTTAAAGATTTTTAAATATTCAAAAGATAAGCCATAGTACTGAGATTTTTAAAAACCTAACTTGGATCAGAATAACCTGTAACTGTGAAGTGTAAGACTAGATCTAATGCACAGGAAGCTGTAGAATTATTTTACTTGAGCTACAACAACTCCTGTAAATAAAAAAATTTTAAAATAAAAATCTGGGGGGTGGATGGCAAAAGATAAATTCACAGTTCCAAGAGCAAAATAAAGGTAGACAGTTGACACATAAAAAGACACCCATTTGTCTGGCAACAATTAGAGAATATGGATCTTAGCCTGGAGTCAGAACCCAGAGATTGGGACGCTTCGATGTCCAGTGTCACACACCCTGGCTGGGAGCGTCTGCCAGGTACCCTATTGCAGCCTGATTTCCTAGGGCACAGCTGGGATGGGTTCAGCAGCTACACACATACCACTAGTGATGGTGTTTTCTGGAAACTGGGAATACAGATTAATTTGGCCTTTGTGTAATAATTAAAGTGTCTTTATGAGCATTTGTGATATTTTTTAATAAAACAGTGTATAGAGCCAAAAATTTACTTTCTGTTGGAACTACTGTAACATGGAAGTGTGGAGAAGAAGGATTATCCAGGACCTTAACTGTAGGCTTTTGTTCTCCACCATTTTTTCTGTGTTATTTATTGGCTCTTCTTTCTTTTCTCAGTCCTTATGTAGGTCTTTCCCACAGTTCTAATTTAACTTATTTTCTCTCCTCTAACCTGCGTTTTGGGACATTGGTTTTCAACTCTGAGACCCAAGTTAGGTGGTTTGGGCCGGGAATGTAGCTCAGCAGCACAGTGCCTTGCTTGGCAAGTGCCAGGTCCTGAGTTGGATTCCTGGTACAAAAGGAAAAAAAAAACCCAAGTTAGGCAGCTCTGCTCAGAACCAGGGACCCAGCTACTTGTTCCCTGAGATTCTGTTGCGAGCCAGTCTGTGGCAGCCACTATTCCAGTAGAATAGTTCAGTGAAAACCTTGCTTGGCATTCTGGTGGGAAGTAAATCAATAGTTAAAATACTTTTGCAACACTGTTCCCTATTTTATCTGCTTTGTGTAATTTAAACTTCAAGAAAGTAGAAAGAAGCTAAACTTTGTGGCCATGCCACACAGGCTGTATGATTGCTTTGAACTTGCTCTGCTCTGCAGCTGGACCGGTGGCCTCACTCAGCTGTTATATCCATGTTATCTATGTCTGTCTGCCTCTACCATTGTAGAATATGTTTAAAGAAACACCTGTAACCAAAAAAAAAAAAAGAAACACCTGTATTCCCTCAGCGATACGGGAAGCACTCCCATGTTATATTTGTTGTGGCCTTTGTTAGTCGCAGTAATATTGTAGTAGTGAACCTTTTATAAAGCCTCTACCATCTCATTATGGTAATGTGTAGTTCTACTTACGTTCTTGTCCGTTGACTGTTCCTTATGTGTCCCTCCAGAGCCCACCTCACATAGAGTGTGAGAACTCGAAGCCTGACCCTGTTTTCCTCCTCCTGCCTTACATCCTATGTTTTCTGGAGCTTTACTGGATTATTATTACGTGTATCTCACATTCTGCATATTCTCAAGCATTCTCAAGAGCGTTGTGGAATTTTTGCAAGTTGTCCTTAGATTTGATTCACTTAGTATTTATTGAACATCAGCTGCTCATCAAGGAGTGTGCCTGTCCTGGAGATGCTTTCAGTCCAGAACCCTCAAGCCTTGGTACCCTGGGGCTGCACCTCTGGGCAGTGGTGTCCTAACTGCCTGGCCTCTCACTGCCTGCCTCGGGCTTTGTGAGATGATGGCATGCTCTGAGTTCTCCGCTACTGAACTTTCACTCATTCCATGTTAGTTAGGCTGGGGTGCAGCTCAGTGGTAGAGCCTTTGCCTACCACACAGGAGTCCCTGGTTTGCTCCCCATCCCTGAAGAAAAAGTTATAATTTGGGCATGGCCTTTTCATCTCAAATCTTTAAGTAAAACATGAGGTAGTTGGAAGTGCCTAAGTACATACGATTTGCAGCCCCCCCCCAGCATTGCCCAATATCTATTATACATTTGGTGGTTATTTAAACTTTTGGTTTCTCACTCCAGAGAAACAATGTGGTATTTACACATGTGTGTCTGATTTATTTCACTTAAGAATATGGTCTCCAGGTGCATCTATTTACCTAGAAATGCCTCACACTTATCCTTTATGGCAGAATAGTACTCCATTGTATAAAAAAAAACAACAACTTGTCTTATCCACTCACAGTTGATGGAGATTTGGCTGTTACAAACTGTGTGCATATATGACTATTACACACATATATTGCTTGGTATGTTGCTTGTAATTCTTTTGGGAAGATACCCAGAAGGGGAATGGCTGGATCAAATGGAACCTTCAGTTTTAGTGTTTTGAGGAATCTCCACTCTGATTTCCACAGTGGTTGCACCAGTCTGCACTCTCATCAACAGTGGAGAACGCTCCTTTTTCCCCCATAGTCCTCCAGCATTTGTTATTGTTTGATTTCTTGATAATAGCCATTCTTTCTGGAATGAGATGGAATCTCATTGTTTTAATTTGCATCTCTTGAATGACCAGTGATAATGAACATTTTTTTATATATTTATTTGCCATTTCTACCTCGTCTGAGAAGTTAGGGTTAGGGTTCATTTCAGATGCCCATTTTTGGATTGGATCTTTAAATTTGGGGGTCCGATTTTTTTTTTTTCTTTATATATTCTAGATGGTAGTTCTTTGAGGAACAGCTGGCAAAAAATTTGTGGGTTGTCTCTTCACTCTGTGGTTTCTCTTGCTGTGCGAAAGCTTTTTAATGAGATGACCCCAGTTGTTGATTCCTTGTGATACAGTTCCTGTGCCATCAGGATTTTATTCATAAAGTCTTTGTCTGCACCAAGGTCTTCAAGAGTTCTGTCTATTCTAAGAACAGATTGAGTGTTTCTGTTCTACTTTGTAGATCTTCGATCTACTTCAGTTTTAGTTTAGTGCATGGTGAGAAACATGGGCTGTAATGTGGATTGCTGCCCCTTTAATCCAGCCACACACTGTCCTATTGAAACTGAGCATGCTGTGTGTTTGTAGAATAGTTGCAGAGTGGCTCGGGTACTTTCATGACTTGTCTTTTTCTGGAAATGGTTTTGGACTTGACTTGGGCTTGTTGACTGGCCAGTGATAACACAGACTTCCTCTTGGTCTGTGGATATCGGCATGAGACAGGGCCTCTTTCTGTTACAGAGGCTAAAGGGAACAGAAACTTGTCTTTGCCTGTAACTTTGCAGCTAGAATATGACCAATAAGATGTCCCTACTTGTGCTTTTGTTTTGTTTTGTCTTTTTGAGACAGAGTCTTGCTATGCAGTTCATGCTGGCCTTGAGCTCACTTTGTAACCCAGGCTGGTCTCAAATTTATAGTGATCCTCCTGCCTCAGCCTCCCGAGTGCTGGGATTAACAGGCGTGCGCCACCACCCCCGATCCTACTTGTGCTTTTGACTCGGGTTTGTTTCTAGGTTGTGCATAAACACCAGAGCCACTTGAACAGTGCAGCGCAGGCAAGGGTGCTGGCAGTCAGGAGCAGTGTCCCATGCTGCTTCTCGGGACAGAACTTGCTTGTGCTTTGACTCCTAGGCTGACTCAGCCTGCTTCTCCAGCTCCCGACTGTGAGAGCCACTGATAGCCTAAGCAGCCCCCTTTCTAAGTAAATAAAAAGGTTTTGATTCTTTGAAACCAGAATTCTAACTAGTAGAGACTGGTGCTAATGTTGAGGCCTGGTTCTAGTGTTTGAATTCAAATGGATATAGTCTTGATTTCCTTATTCTGACCTCATCCACTGTGTTAGTGCGGACCTGCAACATCTGGAGGGTTCTCCCCTCAGTCCCTGCTCTTCCCGACCTTCCCTAACCTGCTTCCCTTTGCCTTACAGGGTCCCCTTCCTAATACCTGTTGTCATTTCTGGCTCATGGTTTGGCAGCAAAAGTCCAAAGCAGTTGTCATGCTAAATCGAGTTGTGGAGAAAGAATCGGTGAGTAATATTTAATATTTACAATTTAGTGTACTACATATGCTCTTCAACAGCAAAGGTTTTCGTGTGTATCTGTTGCGGGGGGATTTATCCCTTAGCTTGGGCCTTTAATTGCTCAAGGTTAGGTATCAGGATGTTTCAGACCAGAGCTAATGAATCTTTTTCCTTTCTTAACTTAAATATTTATGTAATAATTACAGACCACTAATCTGTGTGTTATAAATATAATGATACAGTTACTGACTAGTAGTGGTACATAGGTCTCTAGAATCCCTAGGCTTCATTAGAATCTTTGTGTTATTGCTAGAATTTTGGAAATTATCAATAAGATTAAAGTGATGCTTTTATCTTTATAAATTGTAGTTGGCTCTTAGGTTATAAGATAATAAGTATAAACTTATGGAAATTTAAAATTACAATCTAAGTACACTGCCTATTAGTGGTATAACTTTGATTAAGGTGTTTTACTTTTGTAGCTTTAGATATTATTTCTGTCAAGCAAATTGCAAAATATTGTCACTAAATTCCCTTCCAGCTTTAAGATCTTGTACTGTTGGGTGTGGTAGCACAGAGTGACCTATAATCCCAGCACTCCGGGAAGCTAAGATGGGGATCCCAAGTTCAAGCCAAACCTGGGCAACTTAGTGATTTAGCAAGACCTTGTCTCAAAATAAAAAAGGGCTGGGGATGTAGTTCAGTGAAAATGCCCTGGGTTCAATCCCCAGTACCATTAAAAGAATTTTTGAAAACAGTGCTGTTCTCCATCTTCAGATTACTGGTTCTTACTCTTTTTCAAAATTTGTGGTTGCTGATTCAGTGATGATGCAAACTTTCTGTTTCTCTCTGAAGTAACATTGACATTCAAGAAGTCCCAGGGTCAGCATCGTCATTTGTAGTATTTTTCAGTCTCTAAACTCATTCACAAATTATTTATCACTTGAACAGCATTGCAAACTAGATGATTTGTAAATTTCATCTCTCATAGAGTGGAGAATAATTACTGTTAGTAGGATAATGGTACCACCAGAATTTAGAAATCATTTTTATAGTGGGTGGATCTAGATGCTTAAGTTTAATTACTTGCAGAATCTAGCCATTTCTCTAAGAAGCCTGGAGCTGGAGTGTAGCTTAGTGATAGAACACTTGCCTAGCACGTGCAAAGCCATAGGTTCAATCCCCAGCACTGTAAAAAAAAAAAAAAGGTCTGATTTTTCTGCCTTCTGTCTGCCTTTTTTTTTTTTTTTTTACACCAAGAATCCTGGTTTTCAAAGACATCTGAGATCTAGAATGTTTTATAATGACTTATTTCCTTCATGTTATACCACATAGAAAACAAAGTCCCAGCAATATCTGTTCTGGTACCAAAATAAATTCTGAAAGTAATCTGTTTTTCACAGTTTTTCCACTCTCGTGGCTTTCTTTCCTTGTTTCTTGGTTGTCATTATACTACAGTCTCCTACACCCCTTTTCCAGCATTCTGTTCAGTCAGCCCTCATCTCTGTGGGAGGGGGATTGTAGGACCCTCTGTCAGTACGAAAATCTGCAGGTGTGCAAGCCCCTCTATGAAGTATGTTGTAGTGTTTGCATATCAGTTATGCATGTCCTCCCTTATTCTTCAGTTTACTTGCAGTACCTACTACAGTATAAGTGCCACGAAAAGAGCTGCTGTATTGCAGTCTTTAGGGAAGCAAGACAAGAACAAGGTCTGTGTGTGCAGTATGGATGCAGTTTTTTTCTTTTCTTTTTTATTTATTTATTTTTTTAATGTGGGGAATTGAACCTAGAACCTTTACACTGAGTTACATTCACAGCCTTATTAAAAACAAAGTTGCATTTTTGAGACAAGGTTTCACTAAGATGTCCAGGCTGGGCTCAAACTAGCAGTCCTCTTGCTTCAGCCTCCCAGAGTGCTGGGTTTACAGGGGTACACCACCACATCTAGCTTTCCTGAATATTTTTTTTTAATCAAGGTTGGCAGAATACATGAATAGGGAGGGCCATATTTAATAGGTATTCAATTTTTATCACAGCCTCTGTTCTTGTCTCTCCAGTTATTGAGAATCTTTATTTTCTAGTGGCTCCTAAGGAAAGACTCATGGGCGTTATAGTCTCTTGATTCTTGCCAGTGACCATTTATCTGGTGTTTCAATACGCACAAGTCAGTATGGCAGGGAGTAAGATCCTTGGCTCACATTTGCTTTTCTTTGAACAATATAAAAATATATTACTTTATTTTCCAACTGAAAGGGATTACATCATTTCCTTCTAACATGGCAAATAACGTCAGAGTTGTTAAATGTCCAGCGACATTTTCCACTAAGGATATTCAATCTGTATACTAACACTAGGGAAAAGGCGTTTAATCTTCTGATTCTTTCTTCTAATTTAATTTTAGTAATTTACTAATTTGAATTTAGTTATGTAAATATGTGATATTTGTAGATACTTAATAGCAAATTCATATGTAACTGTTGAAAGTAGTTATAAATAAAAGCTTTTCAAAACTTTTATGATAAGATCCTTGTAGGTGTTTGATACTTTCAGAAGCATAAATGAATATCATATGATGTTAAAATGTAAGACACTGCTGGGCATGGTAGCGCATACCTGTAATCCCAGCAGTGTGGAGGCTGAGGAGGAGGATTACCATGAGTACAAGGCCAGCCTGCAGTACAAAGCAAGACTCTGTCTCAAAAATTTAAAAAAAAATTTTTTTAAATTGTAAGACATCAAGCTTTAAAAATGACAACTTTCATTTTTGTTTCGTAGAGATGGTATCTGTTTATGGCTTTTTTAGTTTAACAATTATAGGGACATTTTATTTTACAAAGCCGCTTTGTAAAATGTTAGTCTTACTAAATAAGTGAAATGTGATGGTGACTGTTCTTAGGTGTGACTACTTGAAAAGGTATAGTATGTATGTGTGAGGCTTGTTTTCTTTTTTCAACTTTTATGGTTTCCTAATGTCTCATCTTTTTGTATATAGGTTAAATGTGCACAGTACTGGCCAACAGATGACAGAGAGATGGTGTTTAAAGAAACAGGATTCAGAGTAAAGCTCTTGTCAGAAGATGTGAAGTCATACTATACAGTACATCTACTACAATTAGAAAATATCAGTGTAAGACTTTCCTTGTCTAAGAGTTTGGGGTTTATACGATACTTTGAAGACTTACTCACTTTCAGATTTGGAGCTTGATGCCACATACATATTTGAATATCTGTGATGGTACCAAGTCATGAGTGTTCTTATTTTTATTTTTGGGGAGTGTACCAGAAATCAAACTCAGGACCTCATGCTTGCTAGACAGGTGCTGCTCCACTGGGCCAAATCCCCAGCCCTCTAGGTTTTGTTCTTATATGGGCTAATTCTTTAAGGATGCTTAAGACAGCCTAGAAAGCAAGAGTTTCCTTTTTTGGGTGGGGGGTACTGGGAATTGAACTCATGACCTCAGGCTTGCCAGATAAGCCCCTATGCCACTGAGCTATATCCCCAGGCCATAAACCAGGAGTTTCAAAGTTCAGGTTGATGTTTGTGAATTGAACATTATACTTTGGGCTGGGGTTATAATTTGGTGGTAGGGCACTTTCCTAGCAGGCTGGAGACCCTGGGTTGAATCCTAGTACTTAAAAGGGGTAGGTGGCTAAGAAAGGGCCTGTGCCAGGTATGGGAGTCAGGCTTGACTCCCAGACCTGGAAGGCTGAAGCAGGAATGTGGCAGGTCTGGAGATAGAGATCTAGTGGTAGCATACCCTTTCGGTTGATCCTTAGCACTGTTAAGGGGGAAAAGAATGGGCTTCAGTACAGGGCAAACCTGTGTTCACATCCCCACTGTGCTGCTGGAGGGTGTGCTCCAGGCACCCCACACCTTCCTGGATCTTTCTGACCTGTCAAAGGATTGGCTGTGCCGCCCGCCAGGGCCATGTGTAAACCAGAGATGCACATGCTTAGCACTTGCTTCGGAAACCCAGCAAACCAGCTCCTGTGCTTGGTACAGTCAGGGTTAGCAGAGCAGTCGACGAATGACTGCTTCCCACAGAAACGTGTCCCCATGGAGCTGGAAAAATGGTGAAGTAGATGTAGCATATGATGTCAAGGATGGTTACTTGGATTGTTTTCCAGAAGTAAATGAAGTGATCTTCGGTGGAGACATACACACGGTGCAGTTGTGAGCCTGCTGCTTCCAAGCTGGCGTCGTACCACCTTTCGCTTTGTCCATTTTCTTCCTTTTGTCTCTTTGTGCTGTAACTAGAGTAAGCTAGACGATAGGAGAGGTTGGGTTCTGAGATGTTAATAGTATAACTAGGAAGTGGGTAAACGTTTGTCCAGAGTGACATTAAGAGCATATCTAGTCTATTACAACAAAATACTGTTGGAAGTCATTGAACATGCGGTGGTTAATACATGGTCCCTGACAACTAAGAGTTTTTCTGGAAGACAAGAGCAACAGTCTGAGCAGTTGTGTGGTGTGGTGCTTCTGTAAGGGTCCCTGGCAGTGGGTGCTCCTTAAGGGTCCCTGAGCCAGGTGCTGCTTTGTGCTGATGCCTACTCTGTTTCCTCTCCGTGCTCCCTGTGGCACCATGAGTGAGCATGTGTGATTTTTCTGGCTCACCTAAAAGACTCAAGAATTACAATAATTAGGTTATTTTTAAATTCCTGTTACTGTATTTATTTTATACCAAGTATTTTATTCACTGTATCATAAACTGCCTTGAGATACATCATTATCCATGATACTGGGTGGTACTATGCTTGTTCGCAGACATAGACAAGTTCTTCATGGCTTTTGGAGCCCTCTTCTCTTGCTATTTATCCCAAGTACCTTATCTGCTCATAAAAGATATTAAACTTAATTAAGGTGAAGGGAATAGACGTGCTTCCTCATTTCTGAAACAGCCCTAATGGGAATTAATTACACCTCCAATAATAAAATAGATTTTTATATTTTATTGGGTTATAAAACACTTTTAAACATGTTTATGTGTCTGTATGTATATATAAAATATGGTCCACAGCAGTACCTATAGGTAAATATTCTTACTATCTTCATATCTCATTTTTTTAAAAGCTTAAAATGCATTAGGATATAGGGTTTTTTCCCCTGTAAATTACCTAATAAGTGACAGACCAAACTCAGAAGGAGGTCTCCTAACTTCTGGCATAGGGTTGTCTGTTTACAAACATGCTAGTTGGGGCTGGGGATTTAGCTCAGCAGCAAAGCGCCTGCCTGGCAAGCGCAAGGTCATGAGTTCAGTTCCCGGTACCGGAGAAAAACCCAAAAAAAAAAAAAAAAAAAGCTAGTTGTTAGCTGGGCATGGTGGCACACACGTGTAATCCTAGCACTCTTGGAGGTTAAGGCAGAAAAATCATAGTTTCAAGCCTGGGCAGCTTTGTAACATAGTGAGACCTTGTCTCAAAATAAAAAAGGGCTGGAGAATGTAGCTTGATGTGAAGGCCCTGGATTCGATCTGCATGCCAAAAAAGAAAATAACAACAAAACCCGAAAAACAAAAACTAGTTCTTCCAAAGGAAAATTGCTTCCCAGTCATCTTTCAGAAGTCAGAGTTGTCACATGAGCTGGCCAACTACTGTGTGTTAGTCATTGTGAAGTGTTTGGTGTAACAGAATGATTGCTTGCCCTTGATTAGAGGTTTAGTTGTGCTTTATAATTTGATGGGGAGCTGGGGACATTAGGTGAGTAAAGTGGCCTTTCAGTGCGGAAGTCAGAAGGGCCCTGATGAGTAAGTGTACAGGCTCTGAGCCAGACTGCCTGGGTTCCAGCGCTGACCGCAGTCCTCAGGCTTGAGTCATGTCGCCTTACTCTGTACTGTACTGTCATCTGTTAAAGGAAGGCAGCATGCTGTCTGCCTCCCATAGTTTGCTTCGGGACTGAGCCGGGCACCCTGTGGCTGTGCTGGAGACCTAGGGCACACAGTTGTGGGCTTCTGTCAGGTCTGTTTCCTCTGGCACAGCTGTGAGTGGGAAGATGCGGGGAGCCTGACCGCAGTGAACAGTGGAAGGCCCAGGAGCCCGCCTGGCTGCAGACCTCTCAAGCCTCCTGTGCTGGGTGTGGAGAGCCAGTCTGCTTCTGCAGTCAGACTTGTATCTGTGACCCGGCCCAGGCCGTGGCTGCTGTCTGCACAAATTGTGTTCGTTCAGGGTCCTCCAGGCTGAAGGAGCGGCAGAGCCACCAGGAGCTGTCAGTGGGTCTTGCTGATAGCTCACTTGTGAGGAGGAGATTCTGTCTCTTTCAGAGAGGCCTGGGGCTTATGCTGTGCTGATAGTTTTGAGGAGTCTTTTAAATGCGAGGTCATGTGAAGTAGCCATTTTTGTCATTTTTCTTTCTAGTTGCCCTTCACTATTTTATGTAGTGTTGTTGGCCAGTTTTTATGATCATCAGGTTCCAAGAATGCTGTTACAATGCTGTCTTCTGTTTCCTTGCCCTTATAAGTTTACCCAAAATAGAATGAGTGTTTAATTGTTTTGATGCTTAGCTGGGATTGACTCAAACTGTTTTAAACATTTGACCCCCTAGAATGTGTCATCCAACTTGTTTATTTCCTGTCTGTCCCAGAGCCCCCATGGCCTGGGTCTTACTAAGGTCTTTCCTAAGATACCCATGATACGCTTATCCCCAGTGGGTGGTCTCTTCACGCTGCCTACTTTTACTTAAATTTTACCAGTTCGCTGACTTGTTCAATACTTGTATGACATATGTATAGTTCGACTCCAAAGCAAAGTTTTTAACCCAACAGGTAAGGTCCTTACCTGCTGCGATGTATTCCTCTGCCATCACACCCAAGTGCTCATTCCAGAACACAGGTGTGCTCACCCACTGGCCCGCTTCAGTCGCGGAGGACCACTTGCACCCAGTCTCCACCTCCCCGTCCTGCCTCCCTGTCCACCTCCTCCTGAGGTACTGCTCTTCTTGCGGAGATGTCACAGATAGGTCACTTTCCAGGGCCCGGGCCTCTGCAGAGCGCTGCCCCTCTGCTTACACTGCAGGTCTGTGCCTTGCCAGTCCCCCCCTCCTGGCCCGGTGAGCTCTTCCCGTCTGCCAGAACGAGTGACGCGCAGCCAGAGTTTATCGCCGCTGTGTAATGATCCCGACAAAAGTGGGTGCAAGACAGTGACAGGGTGCAGTGTGACGCTGGGCTAAGGGGAGATCCACAAACGTCCTCGTTCCTCAGATACCGAGGAGTTAGTGAAGAGGTTAAAAATACGGCAGATTTTACAGTTGATGGGAGTTTTTAATGGATAGCAACAAATGCAGTTACTGCATGTAGTTATTTTAGAAACAGCTGGTATATGTTAAGTATTTACCACATAAAGGGAGATATCCGGCACTTCGTGTTTATTGCTTCATTTGTTCTTCACAGCAACCTTCTAAGGTAAATACTCTCCAACTCCATTTGTAGATTATAAAACTCAGGCTTCATAAGTCTTGTAGAAACATAGTCTCAGTACATTTGGTGTGTACCTAACGTGAGAACAGGTAGGCCTGGAGCACTATGGCTTTATAGGTTTTTTAATAACAGAAAACTTACAATCTTGTGTTTATAATATTACCTTGAATTTGGATGGCTTTGGGAAGACACACTTACATTGCCACAGACCTCACAGCCCCTACTGTCTTGTACCCAATCCGGTGTCCGTCACGTACAGCCCGTTTGACAACCACTCACAGATCACATGTAGAATCTTACTTCAACAATGTAAGTGGGGTTTTGCATTTTTGGATAGCACGTGGTATGCACTTCGCAATTTGATAAGGGAAATGTGGTAAGCATGTGTGGATGGGCTACGGATGGGGCCAGCAGGGGAATTGTAGCTGTGGATGAAGCCAGGTGTGTGCAGACACAAGGTGGAGCCCTAGGAGGGGCGGCAGGAAAACCACCAGATGGAGAGCAGCAGGCCTCAGCGGTGCAGGGAGGGTGGGATGCTTCCAGACTGGTGACACGGGCAGCTGATCTCAAGTTGTGAGGTCTACACAATTGTTCAGAATAAAGTGGATCTTATTTTAGCTCTGTATCTTGATACCCTTACTGTGCCTCCCATTCTCTGTCCAGCATGGGAAAGGGTCCAGCCGTGCAAATCAGTGTCTCTGCCCAAGCAGCGAATGCTTGTGTTTCAGCCCTTCCTGTCGCTCTGAGTCACAAGAGTTTGCAGGTCTTGACTTACAGGGTTTTTTAGGCTGGTTTTTTTCTTGTTGTCATTTTTTGTTTTTTGTTTTGTTTTGTTTTGTTTCTGGTACGGGGAATTGAACTCACTACCTTGCGCTTGCCGGGCAGGCGCTGTGCCGCTGAACTAAATCCCCAGCCCTTGGTTTTTTTTTTTAAACCTTGTTTCAGTAGAAGTAAATGAATCACAAACTCTCCTTCAGTCTGGTTCTGTAGGGCAAGAAAAGCACTGATTTTCAAAACCCTGTTAGCAGGGAAGACTGTATTACACAGTCATGAGCACTTCTGGGAACTGGCTTCAAGTGTCCTGGACAATGTGACCTGAATTTGAAAAACGTCAAGAGATCGCTAGTGTTGAGCCAAAATTACATAAGCAGAGAATGAGCGTGCAGGTGCTGCAGGTTGTGGGACAGCCATTCATTGAAGAGTCAGGAAGTGGTGCTGTAACGGAGCAATGCCGGGCCACACCTGGTAGGCACGTGCCACAGTTGGCAGGGTCCTGGGAGCCCCACCAGTCCTGTGGACCAGCGCTGCGTGTGCTGGTGGGCAGCCACAGCAGGGCAGTTGCCAGTGAGGGGGAAAATGGGTTTAGAAAACCCACTAAAATCATATGCCCTGATCAACAAAAAGTAAGACAGAGTGATCAAGGATCAGCCTCTTCACATTCCTGTGTGGGTCCTGTTCACTGTCCGTGAACAGCTTTGTAAAAAGAGGCTAAGTGTGCCTTCATTTGGAATGTGTTGAGCTTCCTTTTTTATTCACTACCCACAGTAGATTGGCTGTTTTGGGGGTGTGCCACTTTGAATTGCATCAAGTTGTGTGACCACATCCATAATAAAATAATGATTGTATGTGGGGGGTTACTGGGGATTGAACCCAAGGCCTTCTCATTGAGCTACGTACATCCCTAGCCCTTTTTTCATTTCTTATTTTAAGACAAGGGGGTCTTGTTAAATTGCCCAGGCTGGGCTAACACTTGCTACCCTCCTGCCTCAGCCTCCCAGGGTACTAGGATTACAGGTCTTTACCACCATACCCAGCTAAAGTACTTGCTGTACACATGCACACACATGCGCCCATGCACGCGTGCCCATTTTTTATACCACTTAGAAAAACATAACAGTAAATCCTATCCCTCACCTGCGACCCCTGGCAACCACTAGTTTGGCTTCTGCTCCTGTAATTTTGCCTCTTACAGAGTGTCTTATTAATGGAATCATGTCTTGTACAGCCCTTAGAGTCTGGCTTCTTTCACTCAACATAATTTAGAACTTAAAAGGAATGCTGTGTGGCATGACAGTTGCCCATTATCCTAGCTTCTTAGGAGGTAGAGGCAGGAGGATGGCAAACTTAAGACCAGTCTGGGCAACTAATACATGTGCACTCTGAAAATCAGGATTGCAGGTAGGCAATTTAAAAAAAAAAAAAAAAATTGAAAAGGAAGTATTTGGGATGCTAAGGATGTGCCTTAGTGGTAGAGTATGTACTGAGCATGCACAAAGCCCTGGGCTCAGTCTCCAGCACCAAAAAGAAATAAAAGCAAGTGTTTTGAAGTCTAGGTCTGGGATATAGCTCAGCAGCACAGCGCCTGCCTAGCAAGAGCAAGGTCCTGAGTTCGATTTCCAGTACCAAAACAGAAGAATAGAAATCTAGAGATCATGATATCATTTTAATTAGTTATGAAGTACTATACTTTAAGTGCCTTCAGTGTATTGAGAACCTGTGGGTCACAGTGTATTTGGAATTATTAAAGTTGTATATGAAAAATAAGATCACTGAAAAAATGTAGATGTTTTTTAAATTTCTACCTGTATTTTTCAGTATCTTATGTGTCTCAGTCTAGGAGAAGTTATTTTTTTAAAAATGAAAGCTAACTTCTAATTATGAAATTCTTTGTTGAGAGCAAGTGTTAAAATAATCTGTAGCGGGTCGGGGGTATAGCTCAGCAGCACAGCGCCTGCCTGGCAAGGGCAAGGTCCTGAGTTCAATTCTCAGTACGTACGTACATACATACATAAAATAAGCTATAAACATATCGAGGTTTTAAAATATTACTTCTGTGCTTTCTCCAGAAATGTCCTTAGTAAAACTAAAAAAAATTGCAAAGGTATAAAGGATATCATGCTTCGTTTACAGAAATGGAAAGTGTGAGTAAGAGATCTGCTCCTGGGGGCAAAAAGCAATTGACAGACAGCTGAGCAGTGTTTCCCTGTCTACTCAGAGTTAATAGGACAGAGATCATCCACAGTGTCCAGGAAGGATGAAGAGGCAAGAAACTGTGCTGGCGAACCATCGCGGCATGTCACCAGAGGCACACACAGCTTTGGGATCAGAAATTACTACTGTGGGGAAAGGAAGCAATTAGAAGAGTAATTTCAAATAAAAACGTACAAATTATTCCTTGAATTTCTTAGGTTGTTCCTCTGTGCCTGTGTAACAGTATCTAAAAGTACATCATATAAAGAGATTATATTTACAAAATAAAAGTTGTAATTCTTTTTTTTTTTGAGAGTCTCGCTGTGTAGTTTGGGATGGCCTTGAACTCACCATGTAGCCCAAGCTGGCCTCAACTTAGGACAATTCTGCCTCAGCCTCCTGAGTGCTGGGATTACAGACATGTGCCATCATGCCCAGTGTAACTTTGTAATTCTTACAAAACAAAATAGTAAAGAATGTGAAATCATAATATAGAAACTTTAGAACAGACAAAAAGAATGCACTCACCATGGTGCCTGCTCTAGAGAGAACACCGGCAGATGAATGGTAGAGTTAGGAGTTGAGATGCTAGGTGTAGCCCTGGACTGCTGCTTCACATCCTGGCTCTGTGTCTTGTAACTGCAGCCCTAACTCTGCCTCAGTTTTCTCATCTGGAAATAGGTTTTAATAGGATCACTAAGCAAAGAGTTTTAAACAGGCCTCTAATATAATATGTTATATGTATCAACTCTTACTATCAAACATTCCAGATTCCTGTAAAGAACATATTCCCTAATCTATATGTGTGATTATCAAAACCAAAATAGAAAAAGCATAGTACAAACAGCCCATAGGATTTAAACCACTAGGCAATACACATGATCTTTTCAAGAAAAAAATAAGAACTAACTTCTCCCTTGATTTTCACTTTTTAGAGTGATGAAACCAGAACAATATCTCACTTTCATTATACTACCTGGCCAGATTTTGGAGTCCCTGAATCACCAGCTTCGTTTCTCAATTTCTTGTTTAAAGTGAGAGAATCTGGCTCCTTAGACCCTGACCATGGGCCTGTGATCGTCCACTGCAGTGCAGGCATTGGGCGCTCCGGCACTTTCTCTCTGGTGGACACCTGTCTTGTAATGGTGAGTGCTTCTTGTATGTGGTCCTTCCGATCTTGTGTTGTTTTCATTGTCAGAAGGACATTGTGTTGTTTTCACTGTGTTGTTTTCATTGTCAGAACGAAGCCCCCGATATCATCGGCCAGAACTAGGTTTTTAAAGGTGAAACATACTTTCTTTTGAAAAACCTAAAACTTTCATTTCTACCTTTCACCTGCTGCTTACAACTGGTGGGGATATATCCAGCATGATTCCAGAGATCCCCAACAAGACAGAAATAACTGTCTCCTGCTTTCAGATACTGATTCATATATCATTGAATTCCTTCCTCCTCAAACAAACACATCATCTCTTTTTCTTTAGTTAAAAACTAGAGATAATGATAGTACTTGCTTCATAGGATTGCTGTGAGAATTCATGGGTTAATGGTAGTTTCTGAATATCCCACAAATGTTAGTATTGTATTGTTGTTCCCCTAGATTTTTGTATGTGCCACCAGGAGTGTATTCTTTCCCCACCAGCTATGGCTGGCCATTGCCTGGTTTCAGCTCCTTTTCTTTTTGGACGTTGAACATAGGGGTCTTCTGGTTTCTCTGATGTCCTGCCCAATTTCTGTCTCCCTTCTCCCTCTTTTAGTATAGAATTTAACCCACCAGTAAATACTTTCTGGCCTGACTTTTGAGGCATCTACTCCTTAGTATTCTGTGTAGTTTAATTTCTTTCTTAAGGTTGTCAGTGAAGTGGACAGTTGACTGGGCTCTTATCATTAGCATTGACTTGAAGGCCCTGTGTCTGTCTTGTAATGGTGAGTGCTTCTTGTACGTGGTCCTTCCAATCTTGTGTTGTTTTCATTGTCAGAAGGACAGTGTGTTCCTGTTAGCATTGCAGCTAGCTGTCCTTGCTTCATTGCACTGGTCTCAGCCCTCTGATACTTTCTAGCACAAAGTAGATTCTCTGATGAGCTGGCACGGTGCTGTTGCTCGTAGTGAGCACGCACACGTTGACCAGGAGCGTCTCAGGCTGCAGCACATGAAAGCTAGGAGCTAGGAACTGTTGAGTCGTAACATGTCTTAACATGGATTGCTTTGCCGCTCTGCCTGTGTGCAGTGATATCAGCCAAAAATTGATCACAGGAAAGTGAACTTTGTCGTATTCCGTTTTGTTAATAACAGATATGCAGACTGGATTATGTGTTTAAGCCTGTTCACTGCCACGTTCTTTTCCTTTTCAAAAACCAGGTTGGTAGTTGAGAGCTGGTGCAGTGTCTCAGCAATGCTCTCTTAGGTTGGGGTCTGTTTTGGTTTCCTTTTCCATCATCTGTAGATGGTCACTGTACATTCAGACACAGTGCTTACAGTCCAAACAGCAAGGCAGTGGGCAAGAAGGGGTACTCCTGCCAGGACCTTTTAAAAACCAGTCATTGTGAATTCACCCTCACGTTAGCCAAAACTGGTCACAAGTAAGTACTTTTGTCCGGTTTTTGGCCATAATGAATGACTGCAGTTGGAGTGGCCCAGTTATGAATCAGATGGGTAATCAAGAGTCACCCCATCTGCTGTTTGAACAGTTGAGGTGTGGATGGTGGTGGGCTGGGACATGGGCTCAACCATCCTCCTTCTTACAGAGGAGCACACCCTTGGCAAAGGCCTTGTATTGCTTGTGTTCCCGGGACTTTTAACAGTGAAAGGCTTGACTTCTTTTTGCCTTTCTTGCAGATGGAAAAAGGAGATGATATTAACATTAAACAAGTGTTACTGAACATGCGAAAATATCGAATGGGACTGATTCAGACTCCGGATCAACTCAGATTCTCTTACATGGCCATAATAGAAGGAGCGAAATGTATAAAGGGAGATTCAAATATTCAGGTAAACTTTTCTTGGGGAAAAATAATACTAGTTAAATATTTAACTAGTTAAATATAGTAGCATCAGTAGCTGTATTCCTCCTAATCTTTTACTTTGTGCCATCCAAGAAGTATGTTTGACTTAATGTGTCAACTAGCTGGCTGTCTTAGAAAAGTAGAGCTAGCTTCCTCATGTATGCTTGCCTAGTCTCACGTTAAATCCTGTGTGTTACTTAAAAGCCCTACTTGGAGGGCTAGGATGTATTTCAAAGGTTGAGAGCTTGCCTAGCATGAGCAGGGCCCTGGGTTTCATCCCCAGAAGTCCTCATGGGATCTGATTTCACTAAAAGAACAAATTTTCACAAAAGGTGCTAGCACTTAATTACTGAAATCAGAAAACATAAGTACTTTTTGGCCCATTAAAACGTAGAATGTTTAGTTTGTGTAATATTCAACTCTGTTAACAGTGACCAGCTTTGGTGCTTATAACAAGCATAATGAGTACAGCACTATTAAAATTACACTTTTCTGACGGATGGCTTTATTCTCATGCCGGTATTTTATTACACATTTATAGAAGGTAAGTTCACAGATGATCAAGAATCTGTGTTATTAACTAAGGCAAAATATCAATAAAAGCAGAACTAACAACACCCCCATTTTCTGTCTGGTCTCATTATATACTATTGGACATAAGTAGATGCAGGTTGGGCATCTGGATCTGAAAATCTAAAACCCAGAGCTTTTTAAGCACCTTTAAGATCCTCAAAAGTTTTGGATTTTAGAGCATTTCAGATTTATGATTTTTGGATTAGAGGTACTCAACCAATAAAGCCTATGCAATTACCCTAAAATCTGAGTGGCTTCTGGCCCTGTGCTTTGGATAGGGGTGCTCATCTTGTCCTGTTGGTCAGTAGATGGGGAGAGTAGGTCAACTCTCTTCATTGTGCTTCCCGTCCGTGAACGTGTTTGGTCTTGGAGTTCTGTGTTACTAGCCAGTAGAGAGCCATTCTGAACAGCCTGTCCTGAATGTAGACTGCCAGTGTCATGTGAGAGAGTGCTGTATAAACTTCAAGACATATTAAAAGTACTCGTAAGCAGTTCATTTGTGAGTAGCTGACTTTGTTGTGCTTAGTATTAACAGTTCAAGTCAAACTTTACTATACTTTATTTTTATTTTAAAAGTTTTATTTAGAGAATTTTCTCCTGGCTTTTAAACAACATCAAAGACAAATTTTAATGGAGAAATGTTAGTTTCTCACTGCAAAATTCTCAATATGCAAAATTGAAACCCCTGAGAGAATCATATGTCAGAAGCCAGGCTGGGGAATATGAAACTGGCTGGGTCACTTCTACGGAGAGCAGTGATATAGGTGAAATAGACCTCATCTCAGGTGTTTGGTTAGAACAGTTTCTCTTTGGAAGCTTTAATGAAGTTAAATCTGGAATTGAAAAAGTCATTAAATCAAACTTGCACCACACCTTTTGTAGCAGGCTGCTGCCTGTTGCTGCTTTCCCCAGCTGTGACTAGGTAAGTGATTCGAGGAGAGAGGTGCTGTAGTTGCACAGGGCCCTTCCTTCCACGGTTAGGCTCTTGGGCGGCTGTGTTTCTTCAGTTTAGAGTATATGTGTGTGTATTCTGACGATCCTGTCACCCAGAGGTGTGGCTTGGACCTGACCCTTCGTGTTGGCACGTGTGGATCGTGCAGTTTGTAACCAGGACGACCCTTTTCATGCAGTTGATCTGGTGTATAGTCGTCAGACTGAATTTAAGGCATTCTCTGCTCCAGTTCCAGATAAGATGTCTGAAGTGTCTCTGAATATTTCCATTACTCAGAATCAGATAAGCTTGTGACTGTCCCAAGGCATTAGCAAGACTACAGTGATATATGTGGTACTGTAGAATTGCTTCTGTTGCATGACTAACGATCGGGTATATGAGACTATTAAGAAAATGTGGAAGTGTACCATACACAAGGCAGAAGTTCTCTTTAGCTCCCTACCCCACCATTTGAGCAGCACATTTCTGCTGCTCTGACAGAAATACCTTCCAACTGCTAGGCGTGGTGGCCCTCACGTGTAATCCAAGCACTTGGGAAGCTGAGGCAGAAGGATCACCACAAGTTCAAGGCCAGCCTGAACTGCATAGTGAGACCCTGTCTCCAAAAACAAAATGAAAAGACCTTCACCCGAGTACTGTAATTTAGGAAGAACAGCAGTGCACTGCTGCAGTCTGGAGGCTGTGAAGTCCAAGATCTGGTAGTAGAGATTCAGTGTCTGGAGCGCTTGTTCACCGCCTGTGGTCCCTCAGGCCCTGTTATGGGGCATGGCTGGCACTTATGCAGAGGTTCCCTCATGCTTCAGCCCTCCAAAGGCCCCACCTTTCACACCACCCCTGCAGTGGGGCTCAGGCAGCCAGGCACGTCTGGAGGGACACATTTGATCGTGGTGTGTGTTCTGCAGGAGTTTGTGTTCATGTGCATGGATGTGTTTATTTTCATAAATGTGGCTTTTTTCCCCCTCCAAACAGCGTACACATGCCATGGTACACTCGCTTAAAGATGCGACTCTCCTTTCTCCTAGCGCTGTGCTGGCCGACATTGGTGTGTGTTGAATTGAGGCTGGGAATTGGCTAGTCTGACTTAACAAGTGCTTAAAGTTTGAAACACACAGTAGATCTGGAGGTCTTAATACAGAGGGAAAGTGCAAAGTATCTCGATTGTATGTTCAGGTGGTAATATTTTTAATACCTTGAGTTAAGTAAAACATTAAAATTCATCTTTCTAATGCAGGTACTAGAGAATGTGGTTCATGTTATATTTCATTGGAAAATGCTGTGCTTGAACCTTAGTATAGAATAAATTATAAGAAGTTCCTTGAAATTCTAAATCGTAAAACTTTGATATATATAACAGAGATCTGAAGTTACTTGGTTAATGTGAAAACCCAAAAACATAATGAATGTAATTATAGCCCAGGTACTACCTTACCTGACATACGAGGATGTATGCCCAGTTATGAGCTACAACTTTTCCTCCACACGTCTACCTCCTCTTGTATCTTTTGGAGAAAGTGGTATTTGTGAGGGAAGGCAGCTGCTTTCCCCCATCCTTGAAGCAGTGTGTGGAGGGGAATTTCTTGGTTCACGTGTCTCTGGGGTGCTGTTTTGGTGATGTCTGGTTGGGGAGGAGGGTGACACCTGACTTGCAGTGACTTGGGATATGTCCCCCTTGTCTCTGGCTCTGAAAGAGGTGGTAGAGAATGGCTGGGTAGTTGTTTCTTACTCGTTGGACAGAATTTACCAGTGAACTGACATGGGCCTGGTGCTTTCTAGTTAGGGATCTTATTAATTATTGATGCAGTTTTTCAAAATACAGGCAAATGAGTTTTAGCAAAACTAAAAATAGTTTTTAACAAATTCTACCTTTCACAGAATTGGTGCAGTTCATCTTTGTTACCAAATTATAGGCATGGAGCTGTTGAACATTTCTGTGCTGTCTGATTAGTGTCCTTGGGGCCATAGTGATAGCCCCTCCATTTTTGGTACTGGCCATTTGTGTCCTCTCCGTCTTACCTGGCCAGCAGCAACTTCATTTTATTAATCTTTTTCAAATAAGTAGCTGTTGGTTCTCATGAATGTTTTCTGCCAGTAGCCTATTTTCCATTTCATTGATTTCTGCTAATTCTTACTATTTCTTTTCTTCTATTTACTTTGGATTTAATTTGTTTTTTGCTGAAGTGGATACTGAGGTTACTGATTTTGGATCTTCTTGTCTATAAACTTTGCACTAAGCTCTGCATCTTGCTGTATCCAGTTTTTGCCGTGTTTTTTGTTTTCATTTAGTTTCATTCTTTTTCCTTTTGCTTTGTTTTGAGACAAGGTCTCACTCAGTAGTCCAGGCTGGCCTTGAATTTGTAATCCTCCTGTCTCAGTTCAAAATCTCTTAGTTTCATTCTTTAGTCCATGTGTTACTTAGAGGTGGCTCACTCCTATAATCCTAGCACTTGGGAGGCTGAGGCAGGAGGATCGCTGTGAGTTTCAGACCAGCCTGGTCTACAAAGAGAGCTCAAGGCCAGCCTGAACTGCATGGCAAGACCCTGTCTCAAAAAGACCAAAAAGAGGAAAAGTATGTTGTTTAACTTTCTGTGTACTTGGGGACTTCGCTTTTGTTCTTCTAGTTTAATTCCACTGTGGCCCAAGAGGAGCTGTTGTATGACTTCTGTGCTTTTACTGGTGTGTTTTATGGCGAGAGTGTGGTCTGTCTTGTTGGCTGTTTCATACAAGCTGGAGGCAGATGTGTGTTCTGCTTCGTGGGTGAAGTATTTTAGAGGTGCCGCTTACGTAATGATTATGTCAGCTTCTTTCTGTCGTTACTGACCACGCCTGGCTCATCTGCCCAGTTCTGGCGGGGGCGTTGAAGTCTTCAGCGTACGAGCGTTGGTGTCTGTTTCTCCTTGGGTTCTTACAGTTTTTGCATCTCATAGTTGATGCTCTTCAGTGAGGTGGGTACACAGTGAGGACTTCTGTCTCTTTGTAGAATTGATGCCTTTCTCGTTGTGGGATGGTCGCCTTTTCCTTGGTAACTTTCCTTCCTCTGAAGTCTACCCTGTCTAAAATTGCTGCAGCTGGTGTGTGTGTGTGTGTGTGTGTGAGAGAGAGAGAGAGAGAGAGAGAGAGAGAGAGAGAGAGAGAGAGAGAGAGCATGGTGGTTTTGTTGGTCTTTCTATGAAAATACTTGCATATATGAATATAAAATTATTTCAGAACTGTAGAGACAAAGGAAAGCTGTTATTGTACATCTAAAATGATCATATCTTAAATCAGTAAATATGTGTGTGTGGCTATATAGCACATACTCATTTACAGAAAACTCCAGTGACCTTGACCTGCCTAGGTAAGTGTCAGGCGTGAGTGCAGACGGTTGCTGCTCGCATGGCTGTGTTTTCGTGTAGACTTCTGTGTGGATGTGACAGTGACCTCTAGAGTGATCATCGAGCTTGGCAGCTGAGAACTGATGTGGAGAGGTCGATAGCTGGCCGTTAGATCGGCTTGAGTATAAGTGATATGTGCTACTTCTAAATTCCAACTACTTTTAGCTGCACCACCTGACTCCGAGTTGCTTGTGTGAGTGAGACAAATGGATATGCTTGAGGCTCCAGGCTGGGGTGGGGTGTCACTCCTCACAGTGTGGGGCTGAGATTCAAACACAGGTATGGACGCAGCTGAGGTGGCGTCCCTGTGAGTCGTAGTGAGTGGTGTCACTGCTTGCTCTGCCACAGTAGGGTCGGGCAGCAGCGGGTGACCTGGGCATGCCTGTTCACATGGGCACAGAGACAGGCAGGGTGTCACTGCTGGTGTTTTGTTTTTTAATTGATTAACATTGACTGTGCCCACTCCTTTGCCAAGTGCTTCTCTTGCTGACAGATCCGAATTTGTAGCGTGTTCTGGAAGTGGTCCAGTATGACACAGGTTTCGGTGTTGCCTCATTTATTGACACTGTTAAAAGTTGTGCAAGAGTGAGTCCATGTTGCTGTGACTCGGTCTCAGTGAAGACTGGAGACTGCTGTCTGGAGACTGTGTCACTTGCACTGTCCAGTGGCTGAGACTGGTGGCTTCTTTGAGTCACAGGTTGTTGTGAGGGCTGCAGGGTGCTCTCCCAGGCTGTGGTTAAATTCTGGCCTGCTAGGCATCAGCTGCCCTCATCTGCAGGAGGAGGTGACAGGGCCTGACTGCTAAGGCTGTGGGGCCGGGTGCACCAGGTTCGAGCCCAGTGTGGGCTGTAACGGGTGCTTGATAAGCATCTTCTTCACTGTTGTTGGCAGTGCTGTTTGGAGCACCGAGCAGAAATGTTAAACAAGGAGGTCCGGGATGTAGCTCAGTGGCCTAAGCTCCTGCCTGGCAAGCGCAAGGTCCTGAGTTCAATTCCCGGTACCAAAAAAAAAAAGTCAAACAAGGGAAGAAAGAAAACTAGCCCTACAGCAAAAGTGAAAGGCCTTCCTCTTAGAAGCAGCCGTCTAGTCATGGCAGCACCGTGCTGTTTTAGGCTGGCTTGGGCCTAGACCATCGCTGCATTGCTCTGTGGCACCTCTGCTTCTCTGCTTCTTGACCCTTCTGAGGCACCTGTCCCCAAGGTTGGTCAGCTCCTCCCTAGCCTGGCCTCAGACTTCATCCTCCAGCCAGGTGTCCCGCAGTGTGTGGTTCCCTGTCTTCCAGACACAGCAGATTGTAGGATGTCACATCCAGAGTCTTCTGTAAATCAGCTGTCACACAACAGCAGAGACACATGAATTATGCAGCTGAGCAAAGCAGCTGTTTTGGGAGAGGTGGGGTGTGGTGAAATCAGCCTTTTCCTTTTAGTTCTTCTGTTGCATGATGATGATGGGATAAGTGAGAAACAAGTTAATCTGGTATCTGAGTGGATTTTCCAGGGATTTAAAATAATCTAAATGTACAAGGGTTAAGGGAACCCTTTTTGTGCAGAAGTAACTCCAGGGAGTGAATGTCCCGCCAGTTCCTGGAAGCTGGTGCCATGGTGTTATGTCTATCTGGGCAATATGCAAGCATTCCTTTTTAATTGGACACAAGGCTCCTGGCGTCTGTTCAAGGATCCCACGGTTCAGCCTGTCCCACCACTCAATTGGGGCTACTGTCTTGAGTCCCTGGTGATGGAAGCCAGTGGCCCGTACTGCTACTGCTGGCGGGGATAGATGGTGGCTGTGTTCCTACCACTCAATGGTCCTGGGATCCCACGGTCCAGGCCTGGGCCGTTCTTTCTCACACCAGGACTGTTGCCATCATTCTCATTTCCAGGGACCGAGGGTGACTCCCGCCTCTGACCTTGGCCCAGGAACCATGGCTTAAAGGCACAGGAAACTTAACACTTTCTGACCTGACACCAGGCCTTTCACGGACTGCCTCATCAATTCCACAGCAGTCTGCAGAGTCACCAGGGAGGAGGAAACAGAAGTGTCCCCTCCTTTGGTCTGAATCCTTGCCTTTGTTGACCTGTCTCTGGCCCAGGGTTGGGCGGGCTGCTGGGAGCAGCTCTCTGGCATCCTAAAGACCTGCTTGGAGATACCGGTTGGTTCTTGCTGAGACTGGATGCTGGCGAGCACCCAGATGGTGCCAGAGCACGTGCACGGCCATCTTACTCCCCGTGCCAGCTTCCCACATCTGTGTGTTAGGAACAGAGTAAGAGTGCAAAGGAACCAACCTTTGTTAAGATCTTCTTACTGTGACTTACGTTTTAGTGAGATTCTAGTGTAGTTTGTCTCAAATAGGTAGACCCACTAAGTTTTATTAAGATAGTTGTATTCAGTTGTATTCAGATACATAGTGATAAACACAACTGTTAAATGCTGTTCTTGTAAAAACTTGAGCTTGTAATCATATTTAACAGTGCTGTGGGATGGTGAGATACCTCTCTATTCATCTGTTACCGTCACAAGGTTTTCTTCACTTGAATACTTTCAATTCATAAATTCTTTTTATTTACTGAATTTTTAGTGTTTGCATCTGTTTCTACCTTATCTTCCCTACCTAGAAACGGTGGAAAGAGCTCTCTAAGGAAGACTTATCTCCTGCTTTGGATCATTCACCAAACAGAGTCATGACTGAGAAGTACAATGGGAACAGAATAGGTCCTGAGGAGGAGCAGCTGCCTGGGGACAGGTGTATGGGGCTGTCCTCCAAGACGCAGGACCCCGTGGAGGGGAGCAATGAAAGGTAAGCTGCCTGTGTTGCTTCGCAGAAGAACAGGCCTTGAGGGCGTGAGCATTGTGGGCCCTTTGTTTATTGAACTAACATGCAGTTCATGCATTTATTACCTAGGAGTTTTCCCATAGTAGATGATGACATAATTGCTCTCAAAATGCTCTCAGTTCTATTAAAAAGCCAATACTGCAGGGCACAGTTGTGCACTCCTGTAGTTCCAGCCACTTGGGAGGCTGAGATAGGATGATCACAAATTCAAGGCCAGCCTGGGCAACTTAGTAAGACCCTGTCTCAAAATAAGTCTGGGGATATAACTCATTGCAAAGGCCTTGGGTTTAGTTCCCAGTACTGGGTGGGAGTACTTGCAAACCAGTTGAGGAAACAATACTGCTTGATTGGAAAAGTTAGAGTAAGGTGCTAAAATACTGAATAGTGTGGTACAGAAAACAAATGGTATGAATACCTGTCATTTGTACTAATGGACAATGCACTGTTAGTATTAAAACTATAAAATAGTACATATAATTCCATTATTGAAGGAAGAAAAGAATCTTTTTCCTCAAAATTGCATAAAATCTCCTTTTATACTTTTGGGCTTTTTATTCTTATGAGTGTAAGAACTATTTAAAATTTTTAAGTTAAAAAAATACATGTCCAGGGTTCTGTGTATCTCAGACACAGTGGGAAGCTCGTATTGGATGCTGCGGAATATAATTCCCTCAGCAGGTGAATGAATTCTTTGCTCCCTCTTTCTGTGTCCCTAAACAACTGTCTTTTCCTTTTGTGACATACACTTTCTACTGTGAGTTTATGTTAGTCGTATTTGGTAGACAGGGATCTTGGGAGTTCCGTGAAGACAGTCAAGGACTCCCTCCCTTTCTGGCTTCGCTTCTGTTCTGCTAGCATAGACATCCTGTGCGTGGGCGGGGCTGGGGTGCAGTCCGTGTAGTCTGTGCTTAGCACTGAGCAGGCCCTGGCTCCATGCTTGGCACCAGATGAAAGCTGACCTCTCCACATATGGTACGTGCATTTTTATATTTGCATAATTTTATGTAATTAGGCAGTGTTATTCCTTACTTGTGACTTCAGTAGCTTTAGACTACAAGTGAAACATAAACTTGGCTATTTTCCTTATTTCACCTTAAGTATACTTAAAATCAGGAAGAAACAGTGTTTTAAATTCCCTTTTTCAGTGATAAGAGTTCCATATTTCTGGTGGTATTGGGTTTTTAAATGCATTTGGCTGGTCTAGAACCAAAAACAAGCTGACAGCTGAGTTGGGGTCTGTTTGTTACTTTTCTCATTGCTGAGACAAAATACCTCACACCAAAGTTAAAGGAGGAGAGGTTCATTTGGCTCACCTTTGTGGAGGTGTCAGTCCATAATCGGCCAGCTCCAAGGCAGGGTGGCACATGGCAGAGGGGCAGGCAAAGGAACCAGGGGCCACCACAGCTCTTTCTGTCCCTTATATTTCATCCCGGCTGCTCAGGGCAGGCGGCACTCACACCCTTAATCTCAGTGCCCTTGAGCCTAGCTTTGCACCATGAACCCATCCCAGAGTCAGACACTCCAGATGCAGCCACCTCTGACAAAGCCCAGCCATGAGTGTGAGGTTCTGGGGGGATCTAGACACAGCCGTAACAGGGTCCTTAGTGTGTCAGGGGATGGGTTTTTGTTACAAAGACACCCACCAGCCTTTGAGCAGTCCTGGTGTGCGCCCCTCTTCTGTCTGACCTTTATAGTGCAGCGGATTAGTGAGGCCACTCGGGAGCTGTGGGCGCTCACAGCAGCTTCTCCGTGGAGTACATGCACATGCCCATCCTCTCACAGGTGGTGGTTTTCTCTTTTTTTCTTCCCTCTGAGACAGACGAGATGGGTGCATGTTTGGTAGTTGAAGTGGGTCCCATCGCATAAGTAAGGAGGCTCAGCAAAGCAGGCTGGGGGAGAGAACAAGAAGGTGGGCACAGGAGGGGCAGCTGAAGTGAGAACTGGAAATAAACATTACCCTGGAATTAAAGCTTCACTGCTCAGACCCAGTATGCTTTAATACTGATGGTACTGGGCCAGGGATGTATCTCAGTGGCATAAGCGCTTGCCTGCAAGCCTGAGGTCATGAGTTCGATTCCCAGTACCCCCCTCAAATACTGTATTAGAAATCCTAATGAAATACTCTTATCAGTTGAATCTCAGCTTTCAAAGAAATTGAGCACAGTGCTTTCTGCATTTTCATTATCAAATAGTCTACAAAGCAATTTCTCAAATTGGAGGTCCAGTCCCATATTCCAACTCTAATAACTTCTTATTAAGTGAGTGAAACTGTTTTTCTTTGAGACAAGGTTTCACTATGTACTCAGGCTGGCCTTGAACTCCCTGTGTAGTCCAGGCTGGCCTCGAACTCGCAGTGATCCTCCTGCCTCTGCCTCCTGGGTGCTGGGATTACAGACATGTGCCACCACACCTGGCATAAAAGCATTTTTAAAGAGGAAAATAGGACAATAAAATAGGAACTCTCCTCATAAAACGTAGTAGATACAAGCGTTTTAAGAAACTTTTGTCTGGATGTGTATGTTTCCATGTACACTGAATGCAGTGGCGTGGCTTGGCCCTGCCCTCAGCTTGCTTCCTCCCCTGTTTTCCTCTGTTCACAGTGTTGTACGGAAACGCATTCGAGAGGACAGAAAGGCCACCACGGCGCAGAAGGTGCAGCAGATGAAACAGAGGCTAAATGAGACTGAACGAAAAAGAAAAAGGTGGTTATATTGGCAACCTATTCTCACTAAGGTCGGGGTTATGTCAGTCGTTGTGGTTGGCGCTTTGGTTAGCTGGACACTGTTCTTTCAGCAGTATGTCCTGTAAGTAAGCCTTGCAGCCCGCATGTTTCCGCACTAGCGGCTGGCCGCACTGCGCTAATCACTGGGGTTCTTCTCTTAGCAGCAGACGCTGACCCCAGACCCACATGGTGCGGTCAGCTCGACCTCACCAGACAGCCCAACACCTCAGGACTCGCCACTACAGGTTCCTCTGAAAGCCAAACTGTAAATCGCTGTCTCAAATAAAGACATTCGTGTTTGTTAAAAACTGGTGCACTGCGCAGCTGTGTTCACACATGTCCAGCGTGGTATCTCACCTGACCAACATTGAGAAATCCTTTATTGTAAGGATTCGCTTTTGAACGCTATCTGGATCTTAACCTGCATTTGATATAAGCAATAAATATTGTGGTTTTACCTATGTTATTAATGGAAAGAAGATGACCGTTAAATAATGTGTTTAATGTATAATGTACTGTTGACGTGGGCATCAAGACTTTATACACTTAACCGTTTCAGGGTAAATATATTTTATAAGTACCTATTTAATCTTACTTTTGTAGTTAAATGTACTTTTTAAAAGCTCAGTTTAAAAATATGTTACCATAAGAAAATAAATTGTATGTTGATTCAATTGTACTGGGTACATTTTCCCTTTTCCTAGAGAAGTTTGGTATGAGCAATTATAACTCTGAATAAGCAATTTCTACTACACATTTGGATTTCCTGTATGTTTTACAGTTTTCCCTGTTTTTAAAAGAAAAAGAAACAAATTTTTCCTAGAAATACCTTTGAAGGGAAATTCTCTTGGCTGAGAAAGGTAACAGTCGGTGATGACTTTGTAAAGACATTGGTTTCTGTAAAGCACATGATGAATGTGCTTAGTTTTGGAGAGAGTTCTGATGTAACCATCTATAACTGAAATAAGTTGCGATTTAGGAAGTGAAGGGCAGCGTTTTATGATCTGTGATTTCAGTTCACCAGACTGGAGTTCTGAAGTGAAAAATTTCAAGTTCTTTCTACTTCAATAAATAGTATGATGATGTGTGAACTTTACATTGTCCCTTTAACTTCTTGATGAGTATTTTTATAAAGCATACTGTCTCTTGAATTTAACTGTCCATTTCACTGGTAGCTTCTGTAAACTGTAGCACCCCCTTCAGTGTTACTTAAGTAGTCTATGTAAACGTAATTGCTAGGAGCACAGAGCGCAGGCATTCTCAGTGGTTTCCAGACTCCATGCATTGGATTTCCATGAGGCCAGAAAGACCCCAACCGCCAGCCTTGATGCGACTTTGGCATCTCTGCTGTGTCTCTCACACACCATGCAGGATGCTGATGAGGCAACTGTATGAAAGGAGGCTGGTCCCGCTTGAAAACTGTTAGTGTAGACCCTGAACTGACCTGAGCAGCCTTCAGGACATGTTACCTGACGCTGGAAGGGTGAACGTGGTGCAGGCTGCAGTGCACCCTAAACAGGGTCACCGAGGGGCCAAGTCCTGAGACCTCGAAGTGGAAAGGAGGTGAGAAGGCCGAGTCCTGTGTCCGCATTCAGCCGTGTGCTGCCACCGGGGCCTCAGGTTTCAGGGCGTCTTTGGTGAGAATCTTTCTTTCCAGTTTGCCTCAGTGTATCTTTGTGTGTCACTCTGCAGCTCAGGCAGGCAGGTCTTACTAAGGTTCCAACTGAAGAGCCGTGTTTGAACAGAAAGGTAGAGACTTCTTACAGGAAGCAAATCCCGGTGGGGCTGTGCCCCCCGCCTGTGCGGGCAGATGAACATGCTTGGGGCCTGCGCTTCTGCTATGCTGCCTGCTCCCAGGGCCGTGCTTTGCCGAGTACTTCAGACGTCACCCGAGGGTTTGCCAGTGCCGGTCTTCATGGGCTGCAGGTGTGAGTTAGGAAAGTACACCGCAGTTGGTGCCCACGGGCAGCAGCCTGGCCCTGTGAGACCCAGTGGGGGACAAGGGTGTAACTCTTGCCTTCCCGGTGGCGGTGGGCCTGTTGTCCCTAGGAAAGGGTCTTTGACGTGCCCCCTTAGCATGTGAGGGGCTGCCGCTGCTCACAGATGCCCGTCCAGCGGAGCCAGGAGTTGTCGTGGCTCCGTCTGCTGCTGATTTCTCCCTCGATTTCCATGTAAAGAAAGTATCAAGGCCTGAGTCTCCATATTTGATCTCTCCACATATAAAATGCAAATAACACCCCTTTTTGTATTCTTAAAAAGTCTTTTAAGGGCTGGGGAGATAGCTCAGTGGCACAAGCGTCTGCCTGGCAAGTGCAAGGTCCCAAGTTCATTTCCCGGTACCAAAAAAAAAAAGCCTTTTAAAGGTAAAGTATAAAAGTGCACAGGGAACTTGCGGATAGCGTGAAGACCTTTGTGTTAGTGTTCATACCGAGGGCTGAGTAGCAGAGAACAGAGCTGAGCACCCTCTTCCGCAGGCGCTGCAGCTGTGAGCGAGGTAATGCGATCAGGTTCTGCGCACACCCTGTCTGCACTCTGTCTTCGCCTGGCGCTGAAGGGCGCCTGGAGAGGAGTTCTATGCGACTTGGCCCAGACAACACACTTCGCAGGTCCTGGTGCTGGCTCCAGCCACAGTGGCTCCCTGTGTGCAGCCCGGAGCTGATCCCTCTTGGCTATCACTGTGCTCACCGATGGCCGAGGGTGTCATCTGGGCCTGTGAGACAGAATGGCATTTTGCTGCTTTTCTGGTGCTGTCCTTGCAAAATCTGTGTGTAGTGCATTTTAGAATTAGAAATTGTCAAAGAGTGCAACCCATTTCCCTCTTAGAAAAGCTTCCCTGACTACATTCTGCGTCACTAGAGACTGGGAGTGAGCCTTTTTATTGACTGCTGCGTACGTTGTTTAGTGAACGCCTGCATTTCTGAATTTGCGGTGGTGGTTCAGATGCAGCAACAACCCAGTCTCCTTGTTTGTACCTTCAGATGCAAACCTTAAAGAGGGGATTTTGAATGTCATCTTGAGCCAGATGCTGTTGGGTGTGTGTCCGTTCATGTCCACTGGGAACCGCAGTTTCGGGTCTCAGCGAGTGCTGCATGCACTCTTTGACCCGCAGTGCACATGACAGCCCTGGTCTCCTGCCGTAGCACGACGGTCTGAGGCCACCCTTGTGTGGCAGCCTTGTACCCACCTGAGCTCCAAGCTGAGAGCTTGGCAGAGACGTCTGGTCTCCTGGGTTCTCCCACCGCAGCAGCTGGGGAATCCTCTTGAACTTCTGACTTTAGGGGACTGTGGGACAAGGGCATGGGATCCAATAAATGAAACAGAAATTAGTATTCCTTGTCACGACATGAGTCCGGCCTTGGTTACTGCCAGGATGGTGTGCTGTGGCGCTGACCTGTTCCTCAGCTTGTGCGGATTTCAGTTTACCTCATACCTAGGGTACTGTGTGCAGCAGCACCTGCTTGGGGAGAGGGCCCTGCCTCAGCCTGCTCTGACACTTGTGGGCCTGCCGGCCGTTTGCTGACCCTCCTCCACCTCTCAGAGCTGGGCACAGGCAGGGGATGATGGCCTCTGTGGAGCTCTGCCTGTCTTGGCTGTGGGCGGCGAGAAGCTCTGCCTGGGCATTGCTTGTGCTGGTTTTGAGGCTCCACATGGGTGTGGGAGTCCCCGTGATGACGTCGCCCAGCACAAGGCACCGTCTGAGCCTGTCACTCCGCACTGGCTGCTGCAGGGAGAGTGTGGTGTGTGGGACTGCTCTGTCTTTACGGAGATGGTTTTTCATGGCCCTAATTTGGTGTTCATTTTTCAGGCATGTGATGCTGATGGTACTTTAAATTGCTAATTTTTAAATTCAGGAGAGGAAAGAGTAAGCTGCTGTTAAGGGAAAGCTTGTTCCCCTGGGACAAGTGTGACTGGAGAGGACTTTCTGAGCCCCTGGCATGTGCGGCCCAGAAGTCATCACTGAGCTTGCCTGGCCGTGCCCAGTGTGGGGACAGCTCCTTGTGTGCCAGGTCCTGCCATCTGGTCTGTTTGAACCCACTGTGCCTTAGGTAAAATAGCAGAACTCGATACAAGTAAACCCAGCAGATGCTCTGAAACGCAGCCCGTTTGTCTTCTTGGTCTTGCACATAAGGCTTCTGAAGCAGTCAACCCTGTGAATGATTCCAAAGAAATAAGGGAATTTTTAAAAGTCTGAGTTGTTAAAATAAGTGACTCATTCCCAGCAAGCATCTCTTTAACCAGCCAGGAAGGGCAGTGGTGTGCCGGACACTTAAACCCTGCCAGCCAGTCCAGTGCATGATCTGATGCGATGTGTAGGGCCCTCCCCTCAGGCCAGCACCATCCGCTTCCAGATGAGTGAGCTGAGCCGAGCTGCCGCAGAGCGTGCGCAGCAGAGCTGGAGTGGGAACTCTAGGCTGTAGGTTCAGAGGTGCCACGCCTCCTGGAAGCCTGCAGCCAAGTATTTAAGTGGGAGAATAACAGACAACCACTGTTACCTGTTAAAAGTCCAAAGTCACCCTGTTTATTTTTTAAGTAGAGCAAACAAAAAAATAAAAACCGTGGAATAGTTTGAATTACCACAGAAAGAGAAGTCTAGGAACATCAGTGTATCCTCTGAACCAATCCACGTCGCATTCCCCGTGGCCACGTCCGTGGCTCGTGCAAAGAGCAGCCTCGGGATGCGAGGGAAACACACACACTACCCAGCGCTAGAGCCACGAAGAGCCCGGCTCCACCAGCGCTCCGAGGTCCTGTCACGCTCGCTGGGCTCCGACTACACATCAGTCACCTTCCTGGAGACGGGCTTCGCTCACCAGTGCCAGAGGAGCAGGCCGGGGTCTGCAGCGGGCTCGGGTGCTGGCGGCTTCCTCATGGGCATGAGCCAGGGGAAAGCAGGCACCACTGTCAGTGTGGGGAGCTGTGGGTGACATGACTTTATTTTATTGGCTACATTGTGTGACTCTGGTTTATATTTCCTGTTTATGCATGTGGAGATACAGTACTGACACGTGTTTAGAGTTAGGGTGTGTGTGTTTGTGTAGAGAGAGGAATGGAAATAGCAGTGCCTCTCCCAAAAGTCGAGTTCTTTCCAAATAATTGTGAAATAACATCACATACTTTGCTGCCCCTGACAGTAGTTATCCCCTCTCTGTTGCTTGTTGGAGCTCATGGCTTTACTTTCTGGCATTAAAAGACAGTCTGTCCATTACTGTCCATCTTTTTTCTCCCCCGGGGCCACAGCTCCGCAGCTATTCTCAGTGGTGCTGTCCTCCAGGCTAGCAGCCTGTCACATACACAGGCCACCTTGGTGTCCAGATGCCACCATGGTGCTATTTTTAGCAGTCTTAACACAGGCTGGATAGGTGTAGCTCGCACCCGGTGGTCTCTCTAAATTCTTGGGGCCACATTGTTTTTACACCCATCTGTCAGTCTCTTACATAAAGGTTATTTCTGGAACAAACAGGATGACCTTTAAAACTCGGTTATCAGTTCTTGGAGAAGCCGGTAACAGGTCTCACCACGAATTCAGCTGAGAATCAGGCCCCCAGGCGTCTGACTGAGAACCTGAACGGTGTGGCCTGTGTGCCAGGGAGCAGCTTTCGGTGGCCCGTGGAGCCCATCATCAGTCCTGTCGTGTCTATGGTCTGTGTAGTGTGTCTGTGGTGACTGTGAATTCAATGGATGACTTCTTATTTTATGTTTTAGGCCAAGATTGACAGACACCTAAATGTTCATGACTTGCGAATATTCTGCAGCTATAAATGTTGAACCATTGATGTGCAGAGCAAGACCAAAGCCCGCTCCGGAGCTGAAGTGAGGCTCGCTAGCCCTCGGTTGCCTCACGGCTGACTGTTTACAAAGTAAACTTCACGTCAGGGACGAGGAGCCCACCAGCAGAAGACTTGCAGAACCTCGACTTTGCTGCATTGCTGCGCGTTTTTTGATGCGTGTGACATGCAGAAAGACGTCAAAGAAAGAAATGAGGACAGACTACTTTGTATTGTACTGCCATTCCTACTGTATTTTTATACTTTTTGGCAGCATTAAATATTTTTATTAAATAGACTCTTGTTTGTGTGCTTTATCTTAGGACAGCTC